GTCGGGGCGCTGAGTTCCACGAGCGCCAAGCAGCTATTCTTCTTCGCTGCCGTGAAACACTTGCTCAAACGCAAGAGCAAATGCGTGATGTCTACGACAAGAACAAGTTGTTGAGGTTGGCGACCGTGTGTACTTGAGCTCCAAACAATTGGATCCCAAGCACGCTGGTCTGCCAAGATCCACTAAGTTTGGTCCGAAGTGGATTGGACCTTACTCTGTTGTGCGGAAGATACACAACCATGCTTTCGAACTTAACATTCAAGTTGGCAACAAGCTTCATCCAGTATTCAATACGGGTTTGCTGAAGCCGTACAACGAGCCGACACGCTTGTCGCGGCCCAACGAGGTTGTACTGGCTGATGGAAGTATCGGCCAGAGCGTCAAACGTTTGATGAAGAGAACACGCAACCGACGGACCCAATTCCTTGTGGAGTGGGTGGGAGAAGAGATGCAGACCTGGGAACCGGTTGCAAACTTGTCACTAGTCCCAGATCCTATCGCAGAGTTTGAGACTACAAGGCGCAAGAAACGAAAGAGAAGATGAAGTAAAACCAACTTAAGGGGGGGGGGGGCTCAAAGGCCTGCATGTATTTCCGTACTACATCCCTACAAGTTGAAGCTACTGCTGCATCAGGAGTCTCTTCCTGTTCTTCCTGTCCTTCGAAGTGCGTTTGCCGTGGCAGCACACGTACCCAAGTTAAAGCTGAACGTGACTAATCCACTTCACACTCTCAATCCACTGGTAGCGAGGCACCACTTCCATCGGTGGATCGTGGTCAGCCGAGTACCCGTCAAGCACGACAAGTCGAGCATTGGGATCAGTCTTCACCACGACGAAACAGTGACCGATGTCATCCTGGCCCGCGCTCACCGAGTACGTACCCGGAACCAAGGCTTCAAAGAAGTGTTCCAAAGTCGCAACACTCCCGATGGATCCATGAAGAATATTGGGAAGTATGGTGTAGTAGTTCAATGAAACACTTTGGCGCTGAACCGTTTTCCAGAACTTCGTAACGTCTTCGCCAGACACTCCAAACGCAATATCGGTCTCGGAGGAACCCACCGGAGGCGTAACCGAACGAGGAGGAACAAGACTTGAGCCAGAAGCTTCAGCAGCCGCGTCGCTTGGAGATGGAGCCACCGGATCCCGTACAGGTGATGACAGAGTCACAGCGACACCAGGACCATCGGCCATGGCATTTGGAACAGCAGGGACTTCAGTCGAAGCAGGCAATGTCGACGAACGAGCGCGAGAAGGAGCATGAGCACGGGAACGAAGTTAGTGTCGGGGCCCCAGTCGAGACGCTCGCAAGGAGCTTCTAGTCCGACGTGTGGGGTGCAGACAAAGCGAACGAAGCCATTCCGGACGGTGGTTCCACCAAAGAGTCGCTTGGAAGCACCACAGGCCGTACGGTCGGTGAGCGAGCCGAGGGGGCGGCAGAAGCCGGGTTAGCAGTAGCTGCAGCAGCAGCAGACGCAGGAGGCACAGCCACCCTCCCAGACGGGCCTATCCAAGCCCCATGTAAACAGGGCCGCACAAGGCAGGCGTGGGTAACGCGGGGTCGGACTAATCCGACGAGGAAAGGCACCTCTGGCCTACAGCGCAATTTCGGGAATGGCAAGACTGAGGGGACGCGCAAGCCAGAGGGAGGGTGAGTGTATCAGATATGATAGATGTAGAGCTGTAGCCAATCAGAGACAGGCTCACTTTAACTTAGATTCAGTATGTAATACAGAAAGACAGATGTAGGGCGGCCGTGGAACCTTCTAGAAGGTTCCATCCGCCTTCACTGTGGGGGCGGCACTTCTCATTTCGCATGAGCTCCCCCAAGCTAGCGTTTCCAGTAATATTTACTGTATATGTCAGGTTTAAGGATTTTTTTTCACCTCCACTGTCAAGTTCAGATGCCGCAGCACATGAGGAAAATTCCCAGCCGATGTCCCTCCACAAGAGGAGAATGACAGTAAGTAGAACTGTCATTCTCCTTCAGACTCAACGTTCTCCGACTCAACAGCCCCAGACTATACTGGAGCTTGCTCCTAATTATCGGTTTTTACTGGTACAGCTTCGACAATCTCAGGCATTTCGGGTTTAGTCCCTGACACCACGTGTTCATCTCCACCGATATTCGGCTTCAGTAGTGGTGGCATCGTCAGCCTTTAAGATAGCTTCATCTTGCGCTGTATTTCCAGCTGCTTCACTGTCGATCTCATTGGGAGGCTTGAGAGGGATTCAGTCAAGCGAAAACGCGGTTAACAAGGCAGGAATTGTTGTTAGGACACATACACAGATAACTCGAGCGATGGAGGTGCACAAAAATCTGTTTTTCGATTTCTGAGGCTTCCAGAGCAGCTATGAGCTATCTGAGGTCAGTTTTGAGCTCTCCTCGTTGAGAGGGTTTTTGGTCAGGCCACAAAAACTTCTGTCCTTCGAACTTTATCTCAACCGCGAATTAGGTTTAGGAGGTTCATGTGTTGAATACGTTCTGATTTGGTATCAGATTCAGCGCGACAAAATTGTCTAAGACGCGGGTGGTATAGCATGCGTTACAGTCGTCTTTCAGCGCGTCTGTTGGTGGTCTCATTCTCTCGTTTCTCGTCTTCTTGCCAAGCCCTG